AAAGTTGTCATTAGCTTTGCTCAAAAGAATAAAAATGCAAACAGCCTCATCGAGGCCTTTAGAGGCAAAGGTCAGGACTAGGAGAGCAACAAACCCCAAAAGGCGCGGCAATAAAGCCCCAGGTGATGCATTGTTAGCTATAGCCGCCTGGCAGGCGCTATGCCCGCCCACTTCCGGAAGTGGTGCGTGGCTGGCTAACGTGTGAAATCAGCTGGGTTGATTGCCGTATCAACCGACGGCACGAGCCAGCAATGGCCGGCATTTCCGGAAAACTGTCGTTTGGTTTTGCATCTTTACACTCAGTTTCAAAAACCATAATACTCCATATCGAGCCCGATCTGTGCCTTTCAGTCAAGGTGCTTGAATGCGATTCTCTTGGAAGTGAGGGATTGAGCGCGGGAAGGAGAGTTTCCGGCGAGAGACGCATATGAGAGGACGCCAGACTACACCTGCTGCCAACGAGGAAAATTAAAGCTGTTGAAGCTATCTATTCGAGGCCTTAGTGCTTTTGTTCGTCTGTTTCCATGGTCGGTTGTACTACATCTGCGATTGCACTCTATGGGTCTGCGTACTGCAGACAGGTCAGAATTGTTTACACAATGTCTACATTGGTTGTAAGGGCGAGATTCGCGTCCCACCGAACCAGAATCTCATTTTTTAGCATTTACCCTTGATATAATGAATTACGCCGCGGTCAAGATTGACTAGCTTAGTTTCGTAGGAGTGCGGCGCAAAACCTTGCCAATATGTATCAGTGCGTGAGTACATAGGCCGCTCATTCTTAGAGGGGTGGGGGAGAATTCAAAACGAGGGGCAATGGACAACCAAGAAGGAGAGAAGTAACGGCCAGAAAGTACAACAAATTCTGGACGATGCTCTTCCAGATTTCCCCCTCCCAAGGTCGTCCAAGGCAGGGTAGGTCATATTGTGGAATTTTTGCAAAACTTTTTACGACCCGCTCGATTCGAAGAGAAGTTAAGGTTTGTCTAAGCCTCCTCTTACGAACTTGACTACTTTTTGGGGGGGGGGAGGGTGGGGAGGGGATCATTGGCCCACATATTTCCCTTTTTTCCATGCGTAAGTTATTCAAAGAGATGATATAGCACGCCCCGCGGAAATTTCTGCAGAGTGCTCGTCTTCATGCATGTTTTGTGCAATAGTTTAGACCTCCCCCTAAGTCATCACAGTAAGCCTACGCTTTTGCTGATTATGAGCATGTAGGGTTGACCTTGGTCCCAGGTACTGTTTGTGGATAGTACATGTACCCCCCCTTCCCCCGCTCGAGGACAAGAGCGCTGTGTGATTTTATGGAACATCAGTGAGCTGTAGAAGAAAGCGTACATGCGTCTTCAAACGATTACTAAAGATCCAGAAACTTATGTTCTCATTTCTTACTTACCAAGGCTTCTTCTTTTCTCTTTCTTTCTTTTTTTTCTCTTTTCTGTAGAGAGCGGGTTTCCCGCACAAACGGTGGAACTCTGTGTGAGCAAAATTCGTTTTGCTTATGTTCCTCGGTGGGACTCCGACGGAAAGTCGGAACCGCTAGAGGAGATGAGGCGCTTGGCGATTAGATCGTGAATTTTAACCTTGAACCGCGTTTAGGCCTCAGAAGACGACGATTTTGTCGAAACGTTAGGCAATTGGATAGGTGTCCACTAAATCGACGGCGAGAAAAAAATAAAAAATAAGGATCCCTACTATATATAAAGCGCTAAGTCTGTCTGTCTGTCTGTGTGTGTGTGTGTGTGTGTGTCACGAAATTCATAGCACGCGTCGCAGCAGTCGTTAGGAGCTGATTTTTTGATATGATATAGGGGGTGGGCGAGAACATATTTGGTGGGGGTCACCAAGTGATAACGACTGATAAGAGGCAGTAGGGCGGCTAAACACAAATATTTTACGAAATTGACAGGTGGCTTGCAGGGTCCAGAGCTGATTGTTTGGGGATGGTACTCGGGGGTGGGCAGGAAGCATATGTTGGTGCGGTCACAGGAAGTGATAAACGACTGGATAGGAGTAGGATAAGGAGGCGGCCGAAAAAAATTCACGGAATAGTTCACAGTGCGCTTGTACGCAGCGCGTAGGACACGTGATCTTTGGTCTGATCATCCCTACTATATATAAAACGCTATGTCTGTCTGTCTGTGTGTGTGTGTGTGTGTGTGTGTCACGAAATTCATAGCACGCGTCGCAGCAGTCGTTAGGAGCTGATTTTTTGATATGATATAGGGGGTGGGACGGGAACATATTTGGTGGGGGTCACAAGTGATAACGACTGATAAGAGCAGATAAGAGGCGCTGAAACACAATTTCACGAAATTCATAGTGCGCTTCGCAGCAGTCGTCAGGAGCTGATTTTGGGGCATGATATAGGGGGTGGGACGGGAACATATTTGGTGGGGGTCACAAAGTGATAACGACTGATAAGAGCAGATAAGAGGCGCTGAAACACAAATTTCACGAAATTCATAGTGCGCTTCGCAGCAGTCGTCAGGAGCTGATTTTGGGGCATGATATAGGGGGTGGGACGGGAACATATTGGTGGGGTACGTCATAAAGGATAACGGAGAGGGAAGTGAGTAGGAACGGATGTAAGTGCGTCGAGAAGTAGAGATACTGTGAAATAGAAACATAGAGAGCCCGATTGTAGACTGATGGCCTCTCTTTAATCGTCTATTCTCAGGTTGTATTGGTCCCTCTTCCGACAGCTAACCCCTAGAGTTCTTGAGGATGAATGGGATGCTCGAATAAATATGATAATGAATACTGGGCATTCCGTTTTGAGATATTCGACCGCTAAATTACCTCGATACTCGACGCATAGTGGTTGTTTACATCATCACTTTAGCTGTGCACTTCACTGCGCTTATCAAACAGTGAGATACAGCCAAGATGGCAGCCTATGTAACTGACGGTAAATACATTTAACGAAGCAGCTATAATTTAGCGGTGAAACCTAAAGCTTCATCGATTGTCAGTTCTATCAATGCGCGCGGTAGCGGGCGGAGCTAAACTGGTAAGGATAAAGCATTTGCCATTGGTCAATCCCTTTTTGGGATGCGGCACGCATTCTACTTCCATTTGTACTCTCCTCAGCTAGCTGTGCTCGAATGCGAAAAGCCCTACACATAATGCTAAGTACGTCGTCTTAGACTAATTACAAATGACTTGCGGGGGCCAGCCGATGTACAAGTCAGTGTTTTTATCCTCCCAGACAAGTCTGGTACCAATTAACCGACCCCGGAGGGATGGAAGGCTTGGTTGGCCCGGGCGACTCACGACCCAGGATTTGATCCCCGGACCGCTCGCGTGGTAAGCGTGCCACTTGCCACTACACCACTTCCGCCAGAAGAAACAAACAACAACAAAAATCAGTGCTTTCGTTCTAGGATTCAGTAGCAGACGCACCTATTCAATTGCGGGAGATACCTTTTACTAAAATTAATGCAAAATGTCTGAAAACGATTCAAATGATATATCCGGCCAAAGCAAAGCCCAGAGAAGGAGAATGGTCAGAATACGTTGTAAGGCAGATTCGTGGGGACACAAAGAGCTGTTCATGAACAAATATAAAAAGAACCCTAGTACACTCTTTAATCTGCTTTTTATTCCAACATCTCAGGCGCGTGACATTTATTTCTATAAGAGTGCAATCGAATAGTTGTGGATCATCGCACTAGAAAATTAGTGTATGAAGTCCCAGTTATGGAAATTTTAAAAAATTCTGTTCGAAATCCTCAAAATCACATGGTGCGCAAACGCCTAACCCTATGGAGTGGGGTTTGCGAAGCGCTCTTAAGGATATCTCACTGGTCGGCCGTTCTTTTGATGTGGTTATATACGGTAACATATGGGAGAGAGACGAGGCCCAATCAATGAGATTCTCGCAGGGGCGGAGCGCAAGCACCGCCCATGATCTAAAGTCTTTAGCTATTCTTTTTTCGTTTTTTTTTCATAACGGTGCCAATCGTCACAACCGCTCCCATTTTCGCATCCAGTAAGCAACACCTATGAAGTTGCAGATTCTGATCCTTAGAGGTTCCATTCTGAGGAGCATAGCATATCATTGATCGCATTGTAGTTCCGTGCCGAAGTTTCACCCTGATGATAGTTGGGTGCTTCTATGCATTCTACCTCGAAAACGTCAGGAAACTTCGGATCTGAATTAGGAGTACATGCTTCCGCCTTTCAAGCGGGCATAAGTGGTTTTTCTGTGGTAGGACCTCGACCGAGTCCTCTAGGTTTTCTCCTTTGTGAATTCGACCTATGGCAATCTAGACCATGCCATACACATGACCTAGCCTTAGCACCTAGACCTTATATCTCTACATGCCGGATTTATCGGCGTGATGAAGAATCCAGAAACTTCGTCTTGTTAGCAGCTAATAGTTTCAAAAAATTGCTAACTCTTCGCCGTTTCATAGGTATTTTGTACGGGACAGCGTTCTCATCGTAGACCTTCTGAATTCGCTCTTCGTTCTTTCACTTTTGATAGTCTTTGGGTCAATTTCGTTTTTATTTAGAAAACAAAACCCAAATTTTCAGATGATTCTATTAATATACTTGTTCAAGTTATTATCGCTATGTGATTCGTACAAAATCCTCGTCATTAATCCGAAATTCGCCTATAGCCACATGAATTTTATGGGTAAAATTGCCGATACACTCGTTGATGCTGGACATGAAGTGGTGAGCAGTTTTGTTATAATATTCTATTATATGAGAGGGTCTTTCTCGAAGGAGCTTCAAGTTCACAATGTATACGGTAGGTAAGTGCGAGTGAGACGTAGTACTGTGTAGAAAATCACATTTACGATTGGTTCCTACGGTGACATGCATCATAGCGTATCAATTAACGTAATGATAACCACATGTGAAAAAAAAATGCTCAACGACTGTGGTGATTACCCATCTAAGGGAAGAGGATTCCCTTTGTGATTCGTTGTCGACGACCTCCCCTCGGCCGGGTCGTGCTTCGTTGCTAGCATTTCGACGATTTTATTACGACCCGCCCCTCCCATAGGTGGATTTTGTAAGGAGCCACTTCCAAAAATCGTCGTCAGAGCGGGGGTATATACGCACGCTGAACGGCAAATTTTCTCCCGCGCCACTCCCCACTCATGCACATGCAACTTCTTACAATCGAAGCAAGTACGACCCCCCTCTCCAAACTCATCAAAATACGACCCCCCCCCGTTGCTACTTGTAGCAACATAGGGTTGACCCTGCCTCGGATGCATAACGAACCAGTCGCGGTAATAATTCCTGTCGATATTATTCTGAGGAACAACATACAAAATTTAGGGGTCAGGCTGACATCAATCGATCCGTGAGTTAGCGTACATACGTCAGTGGGTATCATCACTGCTCTGTCTAGAAACTAAGCTTTCTAACGGTTTGGAGAACCTTTTAGTTCAATCAGAAATGAGTCAAATGAACACTTTATGTGGGTTTGATGGCGCTCTGATTCATTGGAAGTCCACACATTTTTCGCGAAGGTTTCACATTTCCAGGTCACTTTCCAGCCTATAATTGAGCCGTTATATGTTGGAAACGGGACTACCAAATCTCGTTTGATCCAAATTGGTCCATTCGAGGATCTTCTCAAGGAAATGTCCGTACTTCACGATAAAGACCTTATGAAGCCGTTGTGGACGGCCAGTGCATCAAATCCAGTTGGAGTGATCGCGGTAAGCCAACACGCATAAGCGACTTACGATGCGGTAATAATAAGTATAATGTGAATAGTAACTTGTGTAATAATAGTCTCATTTCAGTTTGTCCCGATGTTATCCAAAATGACAGAGATGGCATTAACCAGTGAGTAGATTCTTATATATCTATAGATTACTGCAGTTAATTTAGTAAATTTTTAAGATGTGCTGGATAATAAGGAAATTCTGCAACAACTGAAAGATGAAAATTTCGACGTCGCAATAGCAGAACTTTTCGATTTCATCGGATTGGGTTGGTGATTTTTCTGTAGGTACTATTACTGAAAGCTCTCCGTTTCAAGGAACGTATAAATAAATTCATACGTCTCGCGTTCGGTGGCTTTCCACAACTTTGTCTGATTTTGACTGAAATTCGGGTCTTCAGTGGCTTAGCGCGTTTGCTCTTCATCTGAAGTAACAGTCAGTCCCAGCAGGGTTTTTACCTTCGACACTAATGGTGTGGAACGATGCGCTAGCCCTAGTCAAGAACATAAGAAGTGTGACTGAACAAAAAACTCACCTTGGAAAGCCGCTAGAAAGGGAGCTGAACGGCTTCGAAGTGGGCGTGGTTGGAAGTCGGCCGAGGGGATTGCAGCCGATTGCAACCACGCCCACTTCGAAGCCGTTCAGCTCCCTTTCTAGCGGCTTTCCAAGGAGTTTTTTGTTCAGTCACACTTCTTATGTTCTTGACTAGGGCTAGCGCATCGTTCCACACCATTAGTGTCGAAGGTAAAAACCCTGCTGGGACTGTTGCTTTGAACTTTTCTCTTCAGGCAATGTGCTTGTTACGAGTAAGAACACAGCTACTGAGAGCACGACTTCCATTTTTTAGTCATTTTTATACGTGAAAATTGA